CGTAATTCTGAAAAACATAAAATTAAATAACAAATTAGCAATTTTAAAAAATTTTCTGCTTGTTCTTTAAAAAGAAATATAACCCAGCATCTCACAAATAACTCTCAAGACTAAGGTTAACACAGGTATGGGAAAAAATGCAATTTTTACAGGGATGGGCAAACTACGGCCTGCCAGAAGGTTTTATCCGGCCCTCGGATAGAATTTTAACTCGCCGATCCGTGGTGAATATAAACAAGATACATTATACATCCATTTTCTTGTCTACTATGTTTAAAGCTACTGATGAGCTCGAAGGAGCGGATTTTTCTGCCGGCGCGAGTTGTTACATTATTTATTGCGTATGTAAAGATTGCACACATATAATGTCATTGTAAAACCCAGAAAATCAGAGCCATGTTTGCTTCATCTTATTTATGTGAACTAGTGTTTTCAACTATAAACCTTATAAAAAAATCATTTCAGAAGTAGACTAACAGACAAGCATTTAGCCTCGTTTCTTAAAACAAGCACACCTCACTTCGAACCTCAATATAAGGTACTTTTAAAAATAAAATTGCAATTTCATTAAATATTTAAATTAAAATTTATACGTTTTTTAAAATTTTTAGAAGTATATTCTCGGCCCACCAAACTTTTTTTTCTCTCAATATTTTGCCCTCGACCAAAAAAGTTTGCCCATGCCTGATGTTAGGTCTGATAAATACAACAAATGCTGAGAAAAATTTAGAATATAATAAAAATTTTGCTAAATTTCTCCTATTTCATTTAATTTGGGAAGAGGAAAGATAGTAAAATGTATGCAAAGAAAAAACATAGAGCCTATTATCTGTAGCTCAGGCTTGGTTTTATTAAATAATAATTGGAAAGGTAACCTATTCATAAAATAAATGCTGGAATTGCAATTGCAAGGCATCCACTGCAATTAGCATTCATAAATATGATTAATCATAATAGCTTATTAATTTTAAGACTAATTTAGTAATCATTTAAATCAATCTTTCAATAGCTATACTTAGCATGATGTCCTAGTTTGGCAATAAATTATATTTAAAAGATTTAACTTCTTATAAAATGAGCAGCCAGCTTTTTATAATATCAAGCTACATCTACAAGGAAAAAAAATATAAGCCTAGCTAAGATTTTAAAACCAAATAATTGCATCTTACTTGCCAACGGTGGCCCTGAAACTATTGTTAAATAGTCACAAGAGATAATTGGTTGAAAAATTGAAAATTAATTTACTGTTACAATATATTTTGATTTTTAATATTAACACACATGTTCATTCATTTAAGAATTATGCAGAATCAAATAAATTTTAGTTTCCTTTATCAAAATTTTTTTTGACAATATATAGTTTATTTTAAAAAAGTATTTTAGAAAAGTTACAATGCTTCTAAAAAAAGAACTCTTAAATTTTTTTTGCAAAATTTCAATCACTGAAAAACTTCTACACCCCTGCTTAAGCATATGGGACTATTTCATGACCAGGGATGTTCCAGGGATGAGAGTAGTCAGATAGTAAAAAAGAGGAAATCCAAGAATGAAATATATATACACACACACAAAAAAATTTGACGAAAAAAGTGCAATTTTTAAACTTGTAAGCCATGTGATTATAAATCCCGATGATTAATTTTAAAATTGTATGAATATGAATCCCGACGAAACTTTTAAATCACGTGAATATGAAACTCTATATCGAATTTTAAAAAATGCGAAAATAAAAATCATGATGCGTAATTTTTAGATCACGTAAATACGAATCACAGTGCATAATTTTTAAACAGCGTGAATACAAATCACTATGTCTAATTTTTAAAGCACGTATAATTACGAAAAACGAAGTTTGATACTACAACCGCAATATCGAATCACGACATTGAATTTTAAGCTCGCGTGAATACGAATCGCTACATAGGGTTTTAAAAGCGCGTACATACAAATCGCTATATTGGATTTTTTAATCGGATGAATAAGAATCGCAACGTTCAACTTTCAGATCCAGTAAATACGAAAATCGATGTTTGATAATAAAATCGAGATTTTAAAAATGCATAAATACAAAACGCGATATTGGATTTTTAAATCTCGTAAATAAGAATCATAATGCACGATGTTTAAATAGTGTAAATAAGAATAGCAATGCGCAACTTTAAAATCAGGTAAATATGAAAATCAATAATTGATATTAAAATCGCGTGAATAACAATCGAGACATTTGCTGAGTCTGGACTTGGGATTTCTAAAAGGCTTGTTTGTATCGTTTTTGTTTAGACCTAATAAATAAAAATTTTCAAGATTAATTGAATGAGCAAATAAATATTTTCACGGCAAATCCACGTCTATATTTTTTTTCGTTTGCTTTTACGCCAAACAACAGGAACACGACGTCTGAATTGCAAAAATATGAGCTATCCGGCGGACGAATAAAAATACAGAAAATCTTATTTTCTGTGTGTAAAAGTGGAGAAAATAGCTAAAAGAAGTAAAAATACGGAAGGGTTAGCAGCTAGGACATAGTTTGAATTTTCTGTTTATCTTTGGAAATCGTATATAAATATAATTATTTTATTTCAAAGACTGAATTTTCAAAAAAGAAAAAGCGGGATATTTATTTATAAACATCGAAACTTTTAGAGAATAGGAGTTTTTGATAAAAAGGCTGAAAATTGAGAGGCAAAAACGAAAAATCTCATCCCTGTATAAAGGAAAACCAGTTTAATCCCAAGGAAATTATTTTTAGAGAAACTTCATAGGGAGGAATGAGGAAAAAAAAATTTTTTTTTCGCGGAAATTAGCGGGAAAAATGGAAAAATCTGACAAAAAGCGGAAATCCGCGAAAGAATAACATCCCTGATATTGACTGATGAGTAAACAAATTATGAATTTCAAAATATATAAATGTTTGTTTAAATGAGTTAATTTTTTCAATCAATTCAAAGGTTTAAATTACTAAGAGCAATTAGCACAATTATTAGAATAAATTTCTGAATTACATATTATTTCAATGTTTTATAATAGTTTTATCACTAATATTTTAATCTATGCAGTCAAACCTCAATTGAATGGAAAATTTAGAATTTTGACTTCATTCATACATAACTGAAATATAATTAACAATTTAGCTTTTAAACAATTGTTTTGTAATCGCATGTCAAAGTAGAAAGGAAAAGGTAGCCTAAGTGGAAATAAATAAAACACAGCTATTAGTCTTTGTGGGTACAGTTAGGTAACACAGTCAGTTTTAATATCCTTAGATTTTTTGCTAGATAACAAAGGAGTTCATAAACAATGTAAATAAGTAGTAATCAATAAATACAGAGCTAAATTTAATGAGAAAATTAAAAATGGCAACCACATGTAAAAACAAAATGATTTGTCAAATTGCAGGCGTGTAGTACTCTATAATCCCAATAACTGATAAAGTGGCAATAGCATATCTGCCAACATTGGAGAAATAAAATAATGGAGATTTTACAAACGACATTTTGTAGACTATGAGTAAAGTTTTGATACATCAGGCATAATCACGTAGGTCATAAAGATAAATTTAAAATTGGAAATATAAACACATACATTTACCAAAGTAAAATAAAATGTATATAAATTTTAATCTATAGAAGACTTTCAAAACTATTATTCATAATTTAAATTACAGACAACTACTAACACTCAACATACCGCACTGTCCGTTGCGGAATAAGATATTTTTCCCATTAGCAGATATTTTATTACAAAAAAAAAATTTTTTTTTGATGTCTTCAACAAATACGGTGAAATTTAAGAATATACAGGGGGTAGTCCTAAAATACAAGTCTTCATTAAAAAACAGGCAACTTGGCAGGTACACCTACCGAGGTAGATAAAACTATGCCTATCTCTTCAATTTATTCAATAAGGTCAAATAAGAATGTAAAAACTCAGCTTCAGTTAAAAGAATGAAAAGGTGACTAGTTTTTTAAGAAACAAAATTTATAGATGCCTGAATCATAAAATAACCTCCATGTGTCTTTTCAAGAAGATGAAGTAAAAAAATCTCATAAGTTATCAACATACAACATGACATGAATAGTACATATTAAACTAAACTTTGAAAGTAATGGTTCAAATAGACACAGAACATAAAACCAGAAAAATAATAAAAACAATATAAGATGCATAGTAAAATAATAATGAACAGGAAACAAACATTCCTCTTTGAAAATATTGAAAAGGTAAATAAAGAGGAAAGTACCTTCCATTCATCTCCAAGTCCATCAGCCTCAACTTCATGTCCCATACGCTTTTCATAAAACATACGAAGTTTCTTCTCATCATCAATTTCGATGAGTTTCTGGCACCCAGTAGCAGGATAGGATATATTTAGCTAGAAATGGAAGATGGACAACATAATTTAACTAGCATGTTTACGAAACAAGTTTGTAATTAAGCTATGATTGATTTGATTACATTATCTTCTTTTGCAAGTAAATTAAATAGAAGATAGCAAACCGGAGAGAATTAATTAAAACTTAAAATTTAAGCCTTTAAAACGAATATCTACAGCGAAATTTTATATTGTCGACAAGTGCTATATAAACAAACTCACATTCTACGTGTACAAAAAACGAGAAATAATGCATAAAAGATATCAGGCATTTTCGATTTTTCAAATCTTAAAAATAATTATAAAATTAAAGATAGGAGCAGCTTAACACTAATCGTAAAGAAACGATAAAGTAACGGAAATCTGTAAACATCAGCAAAACAAGAGTTAAATATGGCCACATATGATGGTAAAAATATTTAGATATGATCAAAAAATTAGTTTTGCATAATATTGTTGGTGCAAATAAACATTTTAACTTACTTTCATGATTTAAAATTAGGACATTCACACACACTAGAAAGACATTTAGAATTTAGTGCTAACACACTTCTAGTCGGTGTACAGATTTCGTTGATGCCACATACATAAAAGAAATAATAGTCATAGGGCATCAAAAAAAAAAATAATAATTCTTCAAAAATTTTTTAAAAAAAAACTATTTTCGGAGAATTGGGTGGAAAAAGAGAAAATAAATGAAAAGCAATATTAAAGCAATTATAAGAAATAAAATTATAATAATTTAATAATATTATTAAAACTTTACTTATTAGCTATATATTATATAATCTTTTTAAGTCCCGCAGTGGACTGATCGTTAAGACATGGTTCCCAGCAGATCACCGAAGTCAAGCCACACTGGCTACGGTCAGTGTGCGGGTGGGTTACCACTTGGATCAGCCTGCGGTGGGACCGAGGGTGTGCGGTATGGGTCCTCGTTAAACTGTTCTACCGTAAAATGCTCGACTTCGCGTGCAGGTCGTCGGGTTACCGAAGCAGGGGTGCCATCCCCTCTGCAGAGGATCAAAATTGCGATGGCATGTCTTCGGATCATCCTCAGGGGTGTTTCCCAGACCGTCGCCAATAGCCCATTGTGCAGCTCTAGTGCGACGTAAATGAACAACAACAATCTTTTTAAAGTTAGCAGCACTGTCTTTTCTAAGGGACAATTCTCACTGCCTGTATTTTTTTTGTCGAATATGGTACGTTGTTGTTGTTGTTGTTGCTGTTGTTCATTTACGTCGCACTAGAGCTGCACAATGGGCTATTGGCGACGGTCTGGGAAACATCCCTGAGGATGATCCGAAGACATTCCATCACAATTTTGATCCTCTGCGGAGGGGATGGCTCCCCCGCTTCGGTAGCCCGACGACCTGCGCGCGAAGTCGAGCACTTTACGGTAAAACAGTTTAACGAGGACCAATATCGCACACCCTCGGTCCCTACGCAGGCTGATCCAAGTGGTCATCCACCCGCACACTGACCGCAGCCAGTGATGCTTGACTTCGGTGATCTGCTGGGAACCGTGTCTTAACGATCAGTCCACTGCGGGACCGAATATGGTACGAAACAGATTGATGCAAAATATTTTCCGGCAAAAACTCGAAACGAGTTCTCCCACACATTCTCAAAATCATGTACAAGTTTTTCATTATTATTATTGCAGAAAGAACAGATGAATATTTGTGATCGCAACGCTTGAATATGTCATCTGGGGAGAAAATCGGTTCCATGTCTTGACCCTTCTCCTTTGATCCTATATTTAGTTGTATAGGAATGTGCTATGATATTTTCTAAATTTTTAATTCGCGATCGCAACGCTCGAGTACGCCCTCTAGCGGGAGGCTGAAAATATCGTGCATTAATTCCATCATTACCATTGGCAATGACGGACGCCATTTTTCTTAGCAGCAAATAAAGCAAAATTTCCCTTAGGAAAAGGTGGAAGAACTTGTAAAAACTAACCAGAACATGTCAGACATTGAAGTAGAACACGCCAAGCATTATTGAAGAACAATTTTGCAATAATTTTTACCTCTCTATTACAAACAACATAACTTCGGATTTCATGATCACTTCCTGTTACAGATGCGTGTATTACGGTAAAATAATTTTTTCTGTCTTCAATTCATTACAAATTAAAGTGAAGTCAACATTGCTTTTGCCATTTCAATGAATAAATGTGAATTCGGAACGTACAAATCTGTAATAGTTATAGAATATTCTTCTTCTTTATAGAATAGTAAATAATTCTGTATCTATGTAATTCGGAAAACAACAATAAAGAATCCTCCGAATTACTTAAAATAGTATCATTTGTGCTGATTATTAATAAATTTTTATAGTTTCCTTGGTAAGCAGTAGGTAGTTTTGAACTGTTTTCAAGCTACATATTGAAATTCATACCGAGATCATATAATTATAAAATTTTGATGTGTGGTATGCTATCTAAAAGTAATGAAGGAATAATCTATGTAGATATTATTTAAAATAAAGTTTTCAAACGAAGAACATTTCATTTGGAATTCTCCAGATTTATTAAGGAGGTGAGTGTTATGATTTTTATAATAAAAAATTTGCTTGTGAATAATTTTTTTCTTATTTGATGATAGTTCTCTACAGAGTGGTTTTTTATGTCTGATTTTGAACTATAAGAATGAAAAAAGGAAACAATATGACAGTTTTTTAAATTTTAATATGAGGATGTTTTTAAAATCGTTTTTTTATCCAAAGAATTCTTTGTTTTACGTTTTTTAATTTGTGATTTTTAGAAGAAAATTGTCGCCAAAATACTTTTATTGAAAAATTAAATGGTATAACATTGTTTATGTATAACATATGTTTATGTATACTTCTTGCATATTCTAATGTTTGAAGTAATATGATTCAGAAAAGTATGGAATAAAAATTCGGTACTTATGTATTAACGCCACCGCAGCTACAGATTTGGTAGTTTTTAAGTGCCGCCAATCTACACCTAAAATTTTTGGGACAAATCATAAAATAAAACACTTTGTTTAGAATCAAAGTAGTCAATCGGATTTCGGTGAGAAATGGGCCGATATAAAGTTTAACATAGATTTAAAACAAACTCTATTTTCGTTCACCTGATGATGTCGCCTAACTCTAATAAATAGGATTCCAAATGAGATAACATTTCCAAAACGTACATCTACCAAGATAAAGTTTTATGTCATGGAAATTGGTACATTTTCGTTTTTTTGGTAAAATATTTCGCTTCTGAAAAAATAAAATTAAATCTTGTTTTGTTTTTAGCAAATCCCAAAGACAAATTTTCGTAGCACTAAAAAATGGCGACAAAAAAGATTTTTTTTGTTTTGTTTCGTAAGCATTCTTTATTTTACGTTTTTTAGTTTCTAAATAATGATTTTTTATTAAAACTTGAAATTTTTTGATAAAAATTGTTGTCAAAAAACTCTTTTTACAAATTTAAGGCAGAGTGTGTGTTTCTTGTTTTTCAGTGGCTCCATCTATGGTCAAAAATTCGTCTTCTGCCACACCATGCGTCGCACCCGTTTATAGGGCGGACCCATTCATGCATCCATTCATTCATCCACAGATCGTAATTTTGACCGGAATCAGAGAACGATCGAGCTCCAATCCAGTACCCCCAGAGGTCTGTTTATGTACAAATATTTTTCCGATGTGTTTTGGATGTTCCTTCTCTAAAAAAAAGAAATACCATTTTGTTTTCGTTTGCATAAGAAAGAATATCAAAAATTTTTCTTTGTTAAATTTAATAAGTTACAATAAAGAAGGAACGTTACAATGCTACTCGCTACATTAAAGACGTCTCCAGAGTAATTGAATGAATTCATATAGAAATCGCAGGCATTCGTCTTATACAACAACGTCCCCTCCTATAGTTCGTTGCGATAGCAAATATTATTCGTATTTAATTGTTATTAACATTTTTTTTTTAATTTCTTCGAAACTTTCTTTTAGAATAATCAATAACTTCTTATTTACATAGTGTTACTTACAGGTGTGTGTATTACGTTAAAATAATTTTTTTTTATTGTCTTTGATTCATTATAAATTAAAGTGAAGTCCACATTGCTTACCTCATTCTAATGAATAAATGTGATTTCAGAACGAGCAGAACTTTTACAGTTACATAATATTTTTCTTTTTTATAGAATAATATGTATTTCTGTATAATTCAGAAAACAATAAGGTATCATCCGAATTAGTTGAAATAGTATCATTTGTGTTGATTACTAATACATTTTTATCGTTTTCTTGGTAAGTATTTTTTTAATTTTAGATGATCAATTTCAATTAGAATTGAGCTATTCTATTTTTAAATTACATATTAAAATTCATATTAGCTGTCACAATTATAATTTTTTTTAAGTGATATGTCATCATAAATTATAGAAGGGATAATCTATGTATATATATATATATATATCATCTGAAATAAAAATTTTAAACGAAGAACATTTCACTTAGATTTTCTTCATATATATAGATTTCACTTATATAGATTTTCTGCGAAAATCGTCCGCAAAAAAATGACAACTAATATATTTTAATTTGTGGGCCACAAAAAAAGGCTTCGTTGGGCGAATGTGGCCCACGGGCTGCCAGTTGGTACCCATTGTTATAAAGTATACAGCTGCTTACTACATCTTATTCTGAGGTGAGATATTTTCAAACAGATACATTTCTTTTTAATAAAAGAAATAAATTATATAATTCTTGAGCTCAAATCTTCTATATTTCAAAAGATATTAATGATATTAAATAATTCTGGTTAGAAGAGAAAATTTCTTTTAGGTATTTACAGATGTATTGTTAAAAAATGTGATGTGGTTGCTAGATTTGCGAAAGAACTCGCTTTTTTGGCAGTCCTGATTTGGCCTCTTTATATTTGTTTATTACTGTTCCTGTTGCAAGCCGTGCACAGTCATACGTTAATATTAGCATATTGTTATAGCAGCGAGATTAAGTTTATTTTACAAATTAT